CAGATGACAAATTATCATTATCGCTCGAAAACCAGCCCACATATCTCGAATGGCATTTCTAAGTGATTCTGAGAATCTTTCCCTAGCCGGGCGGACAGGGAGTTAGAAGGGGGTGGTAATCGATTCCGGAAATAAAGCGCTTATACTAAAGTTGCAAACTCATGCGGTAACCGATTATTTGATGCCCAGTGCAGTGTGAAACATGCTCGTTTATCGCATGCCAAAGGTGTTCAAAAAACCTCCCACCTACGGCCTGGCGGCTGTTGATTGACCGTTTCGGGCACGAGAGGCCCTTATGGGAAAATATTGGTGTTCGATTTGGCGCATGCCTGAGGAGATCATCACTCATTCTTCCTACTGCACCGCACGCTAATTGTTTAGCCGGGTTAACATGCGCGTTCGGTGAACGGATTAGTACGCAATTGTATTTTCAAGTCAGTTCAGGTTTTTTAGTGAAATATAGGTAAATGCCTTTGAGCACCCTCCTTGTACAGAGCAGCTATAATGCAGAACATGTGGCGTTGGCAGTAATGGGACTGCGTTAGAAGGGCAGACAGTAACAAAACTCCGTAGACATTGTACATGAGTCTAGGTTTGAATGGCATTTGTGGGATTTTAAGAATAAAAACTGTCGCTATCGATTTGCTTAAGGATATAGGTCTGCAAAGTTACGGGTTTCTGTAAGTTGACATTGGATAAAGCTAAAATAATCGTGTAAAATGTTTACCCTAGAGTGTAATAGGCATGCATACGGGCGAGACATATGGGCTTTTCACACAGCACAAGTAAACGAACGCTCAAAAATAGTTTGCAGGTTGATTTAGCACGTAAAAAAATGATCGATAATTTCTGTACTGTTTAGCATGACAGTAAGCAACCAGTCTACGTATTTTGGTAGATTTTAAAATGCTTTTTACAGAAAGTGTCCGTTTTTTCCGTATTGACATTGGTTGGGGTGCAGTTGACTTAGGTGAAGCAAGGACTTTTCTTGGTCTTGATAATATGGACGCCGCTGGGATACCACTGTATGCTCTCTATTGCTTACCACTACCTACTTGTTCCACTTATGCTCCCTTTAGGAAAACACATTTTTGGATTTGGTCACTTCCAAGCCTGGACTATAAAATATTTGAACTTTCAAGGAAATGTAATTAGTGCAATTCTTACGGTCATCTGTTAAATTTGCTGACCGAAATTCTGCTCTCAAGACTATTGTCAACATCCTAGAGTTTTGAAATCCGCTGTTCCACTGTTGCTGCCATACTTTGTATAGCATGGGAAGCGAGATGAGATGCAGAGAAGAATCAACCAAGCCATATCCAACCTCATCGAGCTGGAGCCTGTTTGTGTGCTCAGGTCGTACTTAGGCCGCCAAGCGTTTGCCTAGTCGTTTAAATGAATGCTAACGGAATGTTTAAACGAAGTATAATTTTTTTCAGGGGCGCAAAAACAAGTTTTTATTCTGCAGTTATTTTCATACTAGAACACATTTATTATAAAGGTATATCTTCAGAATGCTCAGACTACTTCGCGGTAATTGAATTTTTATTTATTAGAAAACGGGGAGCTTATCTTCGATTCCACCGCTAGCCATAACTACAAACCCTTTCTTAAAGTCTTCCTTAAATTTACTCTCGATAAAGCTTTGCACAAAGATACTGGCATCTTATTCCACATCTCTGATTCCTTGGCCCTACCAATCATCGCCTAATGTCCTCGTATAGAAGACTCCGACGTGAGGCAGAACAAAGTCTCTTCTTATTAAATGTTGGCACTTCTAGGGTCCTACTTGAGTTGGTACAGTGCTGTTCGACTCAGGAGAATGTTTTCATTCATTACGCCTCCACGTTTAGTGGAAGAAACCCAGTGCTCTGATCTTCTTGACAGATCTGTTTAGGTGCGGTCTGTAGGTCAGATGAAAATTATTTCCGAATTTCACGCGCAGAGTGTGTTCTTTTTAAAATAATTTATAACTTCATACTGGCAACTTAAAAAACTCCTATTTGCCACTTGAGAAAAGCGGCATAAGTCTTAAATACAGCCGAATTTTGACTTCAGTTTACACAGGAAACCCCATAAACTTCCTTCACTTTTGTGGTTAGGCAATTTTTATTATGCATCTGGACTTGCTCGCCCCGCTGTTTTCAGAAACCTCACAGGCAGTTGGACGGCGGCTAGTGGAGCCTGCAGAGAAGAACTGAGTCAAGCCTGCTTATATAGCAGTCAGCAATCAGTCATGTTCAACTGCTTTAATACAGCCTTAACCAACATGCGGTTGGTATGAGTGGCTGAAAATCCTAACAAACTAGAAATGGGCATTTCAGTCCCTCTTATGTTTGTGGTGCACTATCCAGTAGAGTCCGCGCCAAGGATAGCCAAGGAGGGAGCAACACATAGTTCAGTATTGTTCAGTATATTTAGGATAGTAGGCAATGCCTTTGAAGACCCTATTGAAAAC